CCCTACAAATACATTGTAATGGCCTTATAAGGGGTGGGAGACTGTGCCATCCCAGGTTTTGCATCGAGTCCTCTCTATGGGACAGGTCACAGTCACAGAGCAAAAGGAAGCCATCCCAGAGGGAATTCTAGTGGAAGAGCATTGCCAGCTCTGCTTTTCAGGGTTGTGGCAGTAAAGCTTCCAGGGGAATGTGGAAGTACATACATCCTCTTTTCCCCATTTGAGAAGAAAAATGCCTCCACATCTCCCAGTGTTGGAAGTGGTTTTGAGAAACACAACTGGGAAGACATGATACAGATTAAAAATATCACCCTGTGGACAAGTGATTATGCATTTTAAATATGAGCAAGGTTTTTGATCTGGTGTGACCTGCCCAGGGGAGAAGTCAAACATCAAGTCAAGAAACATAAGGAGAGAGGAAAAGGAAAATGCTGTTCCCAGGTCAAGAAAATGGTGGAGTATCTGTTGAGGTATCAGCCAAGGAGTTCTGTGGTGGCCTTCATGAAAACACACTGTTGAAAGGAGGTGGCAAAGGCCAGTCTGAACAGGGTCAATGAGAGACTTCGCAACAAGGAAAGTAGAGATGTGTGCAAGAATGGAATCCTAAGGAGCTAGATGGGGAGAAGCTGGAGAGGGCAAAGGAGGGTTTCATCTTAAGATGGGGAGATGGAGACATATTTGAAGATCAAGAAGTGTGATGAGCAACAGAAGTTAAAAATGAAAAGGATAGGGGAAAGGAAGTTGTTAGAGAGCAGAAGATGTGATAGCGTCAGCGGTGGTAGGAAGTGGGTAGCAGATAAAACTTAGGGCATATCTACATGTTCATTAACGTGCTTTAGGTAATATGCATTAAATCTAGTACCTCCATTGTGAGGTACTAGAAAAATGGGGAAACGGAGAAGCAAACCCTAGAGATCTTCAAAAGAAGACTGGATGCACACCCTGCTGGGGTTATTTGACTCCAGCAGTCTTTCCTTCCCAGAGCAGGGGGGGGCTGGGCCCAATTATCTCACAAGGTCCCTTCCAGCCCTAAACTTCTGTGAATCTGTGAGCATTAGCCTACTTTGATGTGCATTAGCTAAAGGGCATGGCTTTGTAGTGATGCTTTAATGCTCATTAAAATAGGCTAATGTGCATTAAAGTGCATGTGGAGACGCGCACTTAATGTCTAAGAAAGAGGGGAGCTGAATTTGAGAGAACTGGAGGGCATCCAAAGAAGAAGGGGATTATTGTCAAAAATCATATGACAATATCTGAAGAAAATTGAAGAGTCTTGGGTCAAAAGGAAGGCAAGGGAAGAAGGAAGGAGGATCTGAAGAGAGAGCTGAAGCCAGAGGGGGAGCAATGAAGGATGGAAGGAAAGTGGCCCAACAGGGCAGAGAAAGAAAACTATTCATCAAGGAAAAGGGCAGAAATCAAAGAAGAAAGAACATAGCTATCATGAAGGAAATTATTGTGGCCACTAGATTTACTCCAGATATGAGTTATGTCAGTAATAGATGCTGTATGGCAAGAGCACAGGAGCAAAGAGGGTGGATGCTGAGGTTGGGTAGAGGTTAGAGTGAACAGAAAATATTTAACTCAGGGATTCACTTAAAAAAAAGGCTAAAAAGACTTTTAAAAAGGATCTTATCTAAAAGGAGAACACTTGCACTATACAAGTTAAAAAGGAAAATAAAGTGCCACATACGGAGGTTACTGTTGACAGGACTGGCATTGATGCCTATGGTGCAGGAGACGTTTGTGGTGCTTCTGTAGGGCCTTTTTACCATGAGGGAATAGTTTCCAAACTCTCCAAAATGATAGTGGATCCTGAAAAAAAAAAAAGTCAAGGGAAAACAGAAGAGAACTGGAGCTACAGCATGCTGTGTAGTTAGAAGGCCATGCAGCAAGCACTGCTAGACTGCAGGCCAGACAAAAAGTAATGTGAGCTGGCCGTGGAAATAGTGCCCTGGGAAGACAGAGAGGAATATTCCAGGAAGTCCACAGCCCATAACATCCTCCCTGAGTGGAGGAGAGGTGACCTTCTCCCCCACTCTAGCAAAACAGAAAGTGCTTTGAAGTCTGCTCAGAGCCTATCATGCCCGCTCCAAGATTTCTCTATTTCCTTTTCAATATGCTTTCCTATCACCTTCCACACTCATTTCCATGTCAATGAGCTCTCCAGTATAGAAACTGCTACCCTCGTTTTTATCTCAAACCCTGGATCAATGACTGTATCCACAAAAATGGTTGTTCACTCAACCTAGTATTTCCAGAGCACAATGATCTCTCTGCTCTACATATCCCCCTCTCCAGCCCCCACATCCGTAATTCCGACTTAGTGCTCTCCCCATCCACTTCCAACCCTCAGCATTTCCTGGGATTCCAGTCCACTTAAGACCTTAACTACTCTACCTTTCTCAGTCCCCTCTTCACTGCTCTCTTCCTCCTCTCTACTGACTCAATTATATGACTCCTCTCCACTTCTTCCTCCCACCACTAACACCATCCCTTCTTGGGCCTAAAATGACACACCCCAAATCTGTCTCTGGCCCTCTGAGCTCTGGAAAAGCCCTGCAGTCACAGAGACTCCTATTGTATGCTGATTCTCTCTTCAACTCTACAACATTCCTTGCAATATTTTTCTTATTTCACTGATACCTGCACAATCCACTCTCAGAGCTTATTTGGTACTTTGGTTCCCTCCTAAAACCTTCCCCTTCCCTGAATAAGATCCCACTGACTTATTTAAAGCCAGAATTGACAAGACCTCCTTCCTTGAACTATTCCACTCTTCATACACCACCTGACTTTTTAATCTGCAGGCTCAGAGCCAGGGACTCTAAATTCATGTGTCTTTTGTATAGCACATAGCAAAATGTGGTTTGATTTGGATAGGGATGATCGTGACTCAGGTAGGAGATTGGACTAGATGACCCCCAGAGGTCTCTTCCAGTCCTATTTCTCTATGATTTCTATTAAATGGACCCCACTTATGACTGAATCCTTTTGGTACCTCTATAAAGTAAATAATATTTTGCAGTGATGCCACAAACATTAAGCTGTAAATCCAAACACCCAGTACTAACTGTGATGGGAAAGCCACAGACATTAGGGACATGGCTGGTAAGAGATTAACATTCAAGCACTAGAGGTTTCAACAGGTCATCTTCAGACTGGCTACAAACTTGCAAAGCTCTTTGCCATCTGACGTGCCATTGAGCTGGAGGGTGACAGAATGCTGGGCATCCACTGCGACTTCCACTCGAGGCTTTCCTGAGGTATTGTTCATGGGCACCAACCCCAAGTACTGATACAAGCACTAGGAAACAACAAGCCAGAGCAAGATTAAAAGAGGAAAGACAACCTGATGATGATAAACAAAGCAAAGTGATTTCCATTGAAATAAAAACATTTAGAAACAGGAGTACAATGAAAGTCTGGTTTTACAAACAGCAAACACTTAACTTCTCTTGTGAGCTGTGGCTGAAAGAAATACTATAGGCTAAAATTAAAAAACAGAGCCTAAATTAAAGTATCTATGATGGGATTTTCAAAAATGCTCTTTCACTAGAATTAATACCCAGCAAAACAGATATAATGAATTTAATCATTAAAAAAAGGCACTACCACAAGAATATTGGCTTTCCGGACCAGGTTAGAGTAAGACTCCATCTAGCCCAATAGCTTGTCTCTAGCAGAGGTCAGTACTAACTGCTTCAGAGGAAGCTGCAAGAATTCTTGAAGAGAGCAGTTACAGAATAACTTGTCCATAGTAAGAACTGTCATCATAACTTTATTTTAGCACCTTTCTTTCTTTATTTAGCACCTTACCAAGCCTTAGCTTGTGCTCTGAAGCACAAGGGCTTAAATATCTTTTAATCTTATGAACAAGCCTTAATGTCTTGTAAGAATCAGTCTCATGCATGTCTGTGGTTCCCAGTCTGAGTGTCCATAATTGGGCTTTCAGCAGTGGAAGTCTGAGGGGGTAGGGAGGGCCAGGGTTCAAAAGGGAAAAGGGAATTGAGGGAGGAACTACTGGAGGCTATGAGGAACATGAAAGGCATCTGCCTTCCCCAATCTGGCACTGATCTTTTTGGCTCATCTGAGAAACAGCTGAAAAACCATGATTTTCAAAGTATTTCCATAATTCCTTAGGTGAGTGAGTGCTAGTCCAGCATCGTATCCCCTGCAGCATCCTGCCGTCTTGAGAATAAAACCTTTTCTTACATGCAGGGTGAGCTTTCTTTACCTGGTAACAATAATCAGAAAGCCAGGAGACTGTCAAATCTTCGTTGTGCAATTCATTGTGGATTAACAGCAAGGCCTGATCAATTTTCAGCATTAATGGTCTCTTTCCAGCTACATCTGTTGAGAAGCAGAAACAGAGAGAAAGCCAAATGTTAATATTTTGATAAGCATGATGCACTTGTGGCAACAAGGCAGTGAGAATCTTAACCTTTTTAGACCCAAGGGCACACCTTCTTACACTCAAGGCATCCCTTGGAAAATGCCAGCTCTGATTTTACTTATTTTTTTGACCACTGAAAAAAACAGTAGAGCAATTCTTCTGTTGCAAAGAGCTCAGAAAGACCACAACAAGGCAGAACGTTTTTTATGTTCTGGATTCCTTTTTGAAACCTCTGGGTTTATCTTGCGACTCACATGTAGGTGTCTGCATGCCTACCAGTGCTAATATTGCATGGCACCCTTAAAAAGATCGAGAGAGTCCAAAGGAGGGCCGCACACATGATTAGAGGCCTAGAGAGCTAGTCATACAAAGAAAGGCTGAAAGACTTGGGACTGTTCAGCATGGAGAACAGAAGACTCAGAGGGGACTTAGTGGCTGCCTATAAGTATTTAGGGGTGTACATCAGGGCCTGGGGGAGCATCTGTTCACCAAGGCCCCCCAGGGGAGGAAAAGAAACAATGGGCACAAACTCATTAAAGATTGCTTCAGACTGGACATAAAGAAAAAGTTCTTTATAGATTCATATATGTTAGGGTCGGAAAGGACTTCAATAGATCATTGAGTCTGACACCCTGCGCAGGCAAGAAAGTGTGCTGGGTTCAGATGACCCCAGCCAGATGCCTATCTAACCTCCTCTTGAAGACCACCAGGGTAGGGGAGAGCACCACCTCCCTTGGGAGCCCATTCCAGATTTTGGCTACTCTAACTGTGAAGAAGTTCTTCCTAATGTCCAGTCTAAATCTGCTCTCTGCTAGCTTATGGCCATTATTTCTTGTAACTCCCAGGGGCGCCTTGGTGAGTAGAACCTCACCAATTCCCTTCTGCGCCCCCATGATGAATGTACAGGCAGCCACAAGGTCACCTCTCAACCTTCTCTTGTGGAGGCTGAAGAGGTTCAGGTACCCTAGTCTTTCTTCGTAGGGCTTGGCCTGCAAGCCCTTAACCATATGAGTGGCCCTTCTCTGGGCCCTCTCCAGGTTATCCACATCCCTCTTGAAGTGTGGCGCCCAAAACTGGATGCAGTACTCCAACTGCGGTCTGACCAGTGCCCGATAGAGGGGAAGTATCAACTCCTTGGTTCTGTTTGTCATGCACCTGCTGATGCACGAAAAAGTGCAGTTCTAGCTTAGCTGATGACTTCATCACACTGACGACTCGTGTTCATCTTGGAGTCCACTAGGACTCTGAGATCCCTTTCCGTTTCTGCACTGCCGAGCAGGTCATTTCCTAGGCAGTAGGTGTGCTGGACATTTTTCCTCCCTAGGTGCAGCACTTTGCATTTCTCCTTGTTAAATTGCATTCAATTGTTTTCTGCCCATCTGTCCAAACTGTCCAGGTCTGCCTGTAGTTGTTCCCTGCCCTCCGGTGTGTCCACTTCTCCCCACAGTTTTGTATCATCCACAAACTTGGACAGAGTTCACTTCACTCCCTCGTCCAAGTCACTGATGAAGACATTGAAGAGTATCGGTCCAAGGACCGAGCCCTGCAGGACCCCACTGCCCACGTCCTTCCAGGTCGATAGAGACCCGTCCACCACCACTCTCTGGGTCCGAGCCTCTAGCCAATTTGTCACCCACCAGACTGCGCAATCATCCAAGTCACAGCCTCTTAATTTGTTCACCAATATGGGGTGGGATACCGTATGGAAGGCCTTCCTGAAGTCTGAGTAAATGATATCTACCCCTACTCCTGCATCCAGGTGTTTTGTAACCTGGTCATAAAAAGAGACTAGATTAGTCAGGCATGATCTACCTACTACGAACCTGTGCTGGTTTCCCCTCAGCATAATTTTTCCTGCTGGGCTCTCACATATATGAGCCTTAATAATCTTTTCAAAGACTTTGCCAAGGATGGAGGTAAGACTGACTGGCCTGTAGTTGCTTGGATCCTCCTTCCTCCCCTTCTTGAAAATAGGGACCACATTGGCCCTTTTCCAGTCCTCTGGGACCTGGCCCGTGCACCACAAGTGCTTATATATTCTTGCCAGGGGCTGTGCAATGACGTCAGCCAGTGCGTTCAGTACCCTCGGATGGAGCTCATCCGGGCCTGCCGACTTAAATGCATCCGGTCCCTCCAAGTGACTCTGCACCATCTCAGGGTCAACGCTTGGTAGTCCGGCACCCTGCTGTCGTCTCTCTACGATCCCATTCTGAGACTTGTCTTGCCCCTCATTTAGGAACACTGAGGCAACTCATGGAGGAGTTCAGCCTTGTCTCCCCCTGTCTGTCACCAACTGCTTTTGCCCATTCAGTAGTGGTTCGCCCTGGGCCTTCCTTTTACTTCCTATATATCTGAAAAACAATTTTTTTGTTATCCTTGACTTGGGATACCATCCTCAGCTCCATGGTAGCTTTGGCCTTTCTACCTGACTCCCTACAACTGCGAGCTAAGGAGGCATACTCCTCTTTACTAATTTCTCCCTGTTTCCACTGCTTATATGCCCCCCTTTTTACCCTTAGGCTGCTCTGGATTTCTCTGGTTAGCCAAGGAAGCCTCTTGGCCCCTTTCCCCCGCATCGGGATCGTCTCCCTCTGTGCCCGAAGGATCACTTCCTTATGGCACAGCCACCCTTCCTGGGCTCCCATCTCGCCAAATATCTTACCTTGCAGTACGTCATTTACAAGTTGAGTGCTGAGGGTTTGGAACAGGCTCCCCCCAGAGGTAGTAGTCACCCACCCTGGCGATCTTCAAAAAGTGTCTTGATGACCACCTTGCTGGGATCATTCCTGCCCAAGTGCAGGGGGGTGCTGGACCTGATGATCTGTTAGGTCCCTTCTAGCCCCTAACATCTATGAAAGCAATTACTCATGACACTCTGGTTGAGAATCAGTGCTATAAGGTGACTGATTTAATTAACAGGAACGGATATTGCTCAGGAAACCCTGATGTTCAACCTTGTCCATGTACATATCCATGTCCTTGTACATGTCAGAGCGGCGCATACAGAACTGAAGAGTGGTATGAAGGAGACATGAAGGTTGCATTTCTGTCGATTGAGTCTCACTTCCAAGCGTCCAAGAAGAGCTGTCATTTCACAGGGGAATCAGCACCTGCTACTATTCTCCCACACCAAGCAGCCACTGGGCCCGTCTCTTTTCAGACAGCGGAGTTCCTACGCATTACTCCACAAGGGTAGGCAAACCTTATTCTTTCAAGGAGCCCCAGCAAGCCTCCACATGGAGCCAGAGGCTCTCCCAGATGGAACAAGGCTGAATACCTAGAAACGGATGGTCTGCAAAGAGCTGGCCCCAAAATCAGGTGGGTGCCAGTAGTTTCGGCCTTTTGGCTGAAATCAAGCATGAATGGGGGGCATCCAAACTCCCAGGCCTCTGGACCCAGGACTTGAATACAGGATGCCCACCTGGATATGGAAGTATCTGTACTTCTAGGCTTAGAGATCTGGGAGACAAGTTAACAGCTGGGTTAAAATTATATGGTCCAAGGATATTTATAGAGACTGTATTTTGATGTAAACAGTGGAATATATATATATAATTAGGTATATAGATAGATAGATTTATAATTCCCTATCTTGGGCACAGGTTAATATTAGGGCTGCAAGTGATTAATCTCACAATTAATTGCAATTTAAAAAAATTGTTGCAACTAATCACAATTTTGATCGCAGTTAAACAATAGTCAGCACCCACCCAACAACCTAGAACCCATGTGCCCTGAGGCTCCTCCCCCGCCATCATCAACAACGCATAGCCCCAGCCTCAACCCCAGCCTGCCCTGTGCCTGCTTCAGACTCGCAGCAGCCGGGGCAAACCAGAACCCATGCAAACAGCCCTGACCCCAGCCCACCTTGCACATGCTCCAGATTCACCTGCTGAGCAGCAGCGGCGGCAACTGGACAGGAACTGCTGCTCAGAGCAGGGGGGAAAAGCAGCCCCTCCCCCTCGCCACTGCCAGGCCCTTTTTGCTGCAGTCGCCCAGAGCCCACGCCTAGGCTGCCCTGTGGCTCTTCTGCCACCACTGCCCCACTGGGCGGCCCAAAGGTGGCAGTGACGGCAGCAGAGAGGAAGTGCAGAGCAACCTGGGCATGGGCTCTGGGCACTTGCAACAAGGACATGGCAGTGGCCAGGGGGAGAGGCTGTTTTAATCCCATGGCAAGCAGCAGCTTCTGCCCGGCTGCCGCCACTGCTCAGCATGTGTGGGCGGTCCGGGGCAGGCGCGGGGTGGACCAGGGCTGTGCGCGCAGGTTCTAGCAGGTTCAGAGCTGATCCACTATGATCCATTCCACTGGGCTGAGTTCAGAGGGCATGGGACAGGCCATATTTTGCCCACCCCTGGTCAAAGCAGATGTGTACAATTAGTGCTCATTGCAAAAGTGAATGCAGTAATGTGTTTTGCATTAATCACATGCATTAACTGCAATTAACTGACTGCCCTAGTTAATATATTGATTTCAGTATCCACATCAAATCACCATGTCTATAAATATCCCTGGGCCATATAAGTTAAATGCCTGAAGGTTCGATTGCTTGCAGGCTGCATTGGACACACAGATACACACACAGGTGTGTGCCCGTGTGTGCATATGTCTGTGCATGTATGTATATAAGTATGTATATATATATATACATATACAGAAAAAGCTCTATTATCTGGCACCTTACAAGCCGTCATGTTCTATTAACCAGCATGCCAGTTTGTAAGGTAAAGTGACACCGGAAGTGCCCACCATGGCACTTCTAGTTTCTCCAAGCCCCCACAGCCTGGGGGAAAGCAGCCTGCGCTGCTGAGACCGCACAGCATAGCAGGCTGCGCGCAGCCCACCTCCCTGTCCAGCAGGGCCCGCAGAGCCCACGGGAGGGGCGGCGATACCGCAGGAAGGGCAGCAACGCCTCAGACACAGCAGGAGAAGCGGTGGCCTGAACAGGCAAGGACACCTGTTCGGGCTGCTCAATTAACCAGCGTATTTTGTTATCCGGCATCCCCCACTCCTGGGGGATGCCGGATAACAGAGCTTTTACTATATATACATGTGTATGTATATCTACATACGTGTCTATGTGTATATATACACTAGGGGTGCACTGATAGAGAATTTTGGGGCTGATACCAATAGCTGATATTTAAGGAGGCATATTGGCCGATACCAATCTGATTTCCGATAGAGCTGTCTCCAGGTGGTAAGTCTGTTGTGATGGAAGGGGTGGGGGTGGGGCAGATTAATGCCCCCCGTGGTGAAGGAGGGAGCAGGGGCAGTTGCTGCCCGGGGTCAGCAAGAGTGCAGAACAGAGGCATGGCTTGTGGGGGGGAGGTGCCCCCTGGATCTGTGCAAGTTAGGCTGGAGTTGGTGCTACGCAGCTCTTCTCAGCAGGGCTGGGCTCAGAGCAGGCACTGGGGTGCTAGGAGGGGGCTGCAGTCACCCCAAATTTCGCTGCAGCTCTGCTCCCAGAGCTGCCGCTGCCACCAGCTGCCCAGCGCAGCCTCGGCTCTTCCCAGAGCATGGGTGGAGGCAGGATATGAAGCCAGGCTACGCCTCACGGCATGAGGCTGGAAGCAGCGCTGCGGCGAAAATTGGGGTGGCTGCAGTCCCTCCCAGCATCGCCAGCACCTGCTCCAAGCCCACCCCCACCAAGAAGAGCCATGCAGCTCTGACTCCAGCCTGCCCTGGGCAGATCTGGGAGGCACACCCCCCGCCCTCCCAGGGTGCAAGGAGCAGTGGGAACCAGCCCCCACCACGAGCTGCACCCATCCCGCCCCCCCCCCCCACCTGGGCAGCGCCGCCTGCCCCTGGCCCCTCTCTCCCCGTGGGGACATTGATCTGCCCCCTGATGCCCCTTCCCTCCCCCTCTGCTTCTGATTTATCAGTTGGAAGTAGCTCTTCAGGCTCTGCTGTGCTGCACTGCGGCTGCACGCAGCATGGGCATTTATTAGCCAAATTATCAGCCCCATAGGGCTGATATCCAATACAGCAACTTTTCTTCGTATTGGTGCCGATTCGGTATCAGACCAATGTATCAGTGCACCTCTAATATACACATACATAAGTACATACACATATACATATACACAGGTGTGTGTACATACATGTGTGTGTAATTTGGGGCACAAGGATTTATATATGTTAATTCCAAAGTTCAAATCAAATCACGTCTAGAAATACCTCTGGTATATATAACTTTAATGCTTGGAGATTGCATTGCGCTGCTTGCAGGTGGTACTGGATATACACATATCTGGGGCACAAGCTTATATATACGCATATGCATCCATGTATGTGCATAGATACATCTGCGTCTAGATACGCATGTGTATGTACACACACAGAAATGTACACACATATTCCAGTGTCCAAATCGCAGCTTGGCGTGCGCACACTCTGATATCCAAACAATTCCGGTGCCCAAATCACATCACGGCTGCTCCATGGCCCCACAGAGGCCGCCCCGCTCCCGCCCGCGGGGGTGAGGGGGGGATGGGGTAGAGGCAGGAGCTGCGCGCCCCCCCGGCCCTTACCGTGCGGCTGCGAGAGCCCGGGCGCCAGCAGCACGGCGCTGAGC